TTTGATTAAAAGTAAATTAAAATCTACCCAAGCCTAATACTGAAACATGTAATTTTGCCACATAGAAACCCGAAGCATGCGAGCCTGCCACTTAAGCTCAGCACGTTCTAAATTAATATATAGAGGGATTTAAATTATAATTATTATTGGCATTATGATTATAATTATTAATACCCTTAATCAAAGTCGTGTTAAAATAATTGGAAAAGGCTACAATCCCGTCACGGAATGATTCCGTGAGAGTTTTTAGCCAAGATAAACATGTAACTTCTATGTATCTACAATAACTGTATATCTAATGGCAAAAAACTCTCACGGAATCATTCCTTAACGGGATTGTAGCCTTTTTCAAAATAAATAACCTAAATTACAATATTCTAATTAATTAAGGAGAATTAAATGAAAGCGAGGAGATTTAAAGTTTGAATTGAAGACTCGGTCCCGAATGAACCTCCCCTATCTTCTGGGCACATCACCTCCTCTCTCTCGCCAGATTTCAGCAGCTGCAATGGGAAGATGTCCCCACTTTTTCTCACATTAAAAAGCCTCTAGCCGGCCGTAGTTTCCCGCATAGTTCCATTCCAAAAGTTCACTCCCAAATTGGTAATTTTCCCTCAGGCAGAAGTAAACCGGGAGACCGACAAACCACCAGTTTCTGGCGACCAAGAAGTACCTGAGCACAACCGTTCGAGAGCAGGGCTTATGCGCTATTGAGACGAGCCTTATCCAACAATTGAGAGCACCAGATCCCGAGTGACCGAGAGCCTAGCCTTGACCACGGCTGAAGCAAAAAATTCTAAGAACCGATTCCTTTTACCAAAGACCCGACCCCTTTTCTCTGTTTTTTGGTGAAAGGTAAAGCCCGAGCCTCGAAATTTCCTTTTTTTTTTCATGCCGGGAGGAAATTGTTTGATTTCAGTTAAGAAAGAACCAAAAACATTTCATGTCTTGAGAATGTTTATAAAAATTTAGTTAGGAGAATTTTAGTCGGGTAGTATGCCTTGAGAAATTGATTTGTTGTCGTTGAGAACCCTTGAGATTTTTTAAGAAAATTTGTGAAAAAAACCGAATAGTTACATCCTCTATTGTTGCATTTTTCGTGAGCCTTTCGAACCTTGTTGAACCCTAAGAATCCTTAACCGACGAGCCCTCCTGAACCCTTAGCTTGGTAGAGCCCAACCATGGATGAGCCCTAGTCGCAGCCGCAGACACGCACAGGTGTGCCGTGCTCAGGCGTGCAACTAGCGTGTCATCTGCAGTCGCTGGCGCGCTGTCGCAGGAAGACCCGCTGACCTGCTCGTTGTATTTCGTGAACACTACAATACGTTGAGTCCCGTGTGTCGAGACCTGCAGTCCGTGAGAAGTTTGCGAACACCACGTGCCGTGTGCATGATGCAGCAGATGACCTCAGTCCAAGAGATGTTCTCGGACAGCCCATAGTCGAGACGCGTCACTCTCAGACGTCTTGCAAGCGACCCACGATTTTCCAAGAATACTCCCAGTGCGACCAAGTAGCGCCCAAGTGCAGGTTGTGCGACCCGGCAGCATCCCAGGTGCAGTCGCGCACCAGCAAGCAAGCCGGACCAAACTAGCCGGCAGCCCGCGCATGCCGCACTGAGTCAAATCGCAGTCCGTGGGTGCCAGGCTGAGCCAAAACTGAGCCTATAGCTATTTTTCAACTGAACCTAGTATTATTATTTGATGCGAGCCTTAGCCAACCTGGCTAATTTTATTCGACCCTTTAGTCGAGCATAGAAAATTAAGTAATTAAGAATTCATTATATTATTTCATTATGTAAAATGTGATATTTATAGTAGATAAATTCTTATCATGTAGATTACAAGGAGTCGAGCCCTAGAAGAGCAAACTGAGCATTTCATCATTCATTATGAAATTAAGATTGGTATTCTGTACTACTTTTTATTCCAGTTAATCAAATGGTATTATGGTTGTGGTATTATATGTGAGCATTGCCTCCCTTCAGGGTGTGAGTTGCCCTTCATGGAGTGATATCGCAGTTTCGGGAGTGAGATTCGCCGCCCTTCAGGGTGTAATATTGTCGCCCTTCGAGGTGTGAGATTTTCCACCCTTTGAGGTGTGAGTATTGTTACCCTTCGCGGTGTGAGATATGCCGCCCTTCGGATGTGAAGTGGGATTCAAAGTTATCATGGTCGTGTTATTATTATATCTGTTATTAACTTGAATAATTATCGCAGTATGTCTCCCCACTGGTTCTGGTTGCTAACCCCTTAAAAAAACACATAATTACCCACTAGAAAACAGCTAACCAACCAAATAAATCAGCCACTCAACTGAATCTAGTTGGGAGGACTGACCCCATAGTCCGAGGCAGCCTAGCACCAACCTAAAAATAGAATGACATTAAACAACGAAAGCTCCCAACAGGAGAAGAAAAACAAACTCCCAACAGGAAAATACAACACTCCCAAAGGGAAAAGCAAACACACAACAAAACAAACTGAAAAACCACACAACACAACACAAAAACAGCTAAACACAATAGCAATCTAAATGTAAATCCCTCCCCATCCGACATGAACTCCCAACATCCACACGACCCAAGCTAAACCCAAACGCAAACATCCGAGAAGAAGTCACAAGAACTACAACTCAAATAAAACGGAACCAGAAACCCCCATAACGGGCTAACTAGGACCGGACCACAAATCTGCCTACCAATCTCGGAACACCGCAGACCCGCCTAGGCCGGTCCATTCCACAGCCCACCCCACGCATACACCGGAGCCGTCTCGCAACCACGCAAAATGCCGCCGGAAGACCGCACCTTCCCAACAACAGGGAAAGCCGGAGGAGGAGGAGACCAAGGCTAGACCGCCACCACTGACCTCCGCAAGGACGCCTGAGACGTTCGTCGGAGTATAGCCGCCGGCGCTTCCCGTCGCTACTCGCCCGCCATGGCACTCGTGAAGAGAGAAGCCCACATCGGAGAGACAGAGACGAAAAAACTCCATAGCCGTGCTGCCAAGCCTAGGATGAGTCGGATGCTCGCCGAGGTCCCGAGAAACTGGGCCGCCGGAGAGAGGCACCCCCGAAGTGAAGAAACAGCTAGGGGAAGGTGAAGGGAAATTGGGGATTTTGACCAAGGGAGAAGATGAAAAATTAAGGCATTGCAATTTCATGGAGCTTGGATTTTTTTTTTCTCCAAAATAACAAGATTATTTGAAGCTTGTGGCCAGAAACAAGATATTTTTTCCCCTCAATAATCTTAAATTGGATTCCATCAATAGGATGTGGGAGGAGGAAGCATTTCTACGTGGGCTGAGTTACTATTGAGATAACAAATTGATGTAGAAATTTGTATGGGCCGGACCATTAACTAAAAGAGAAATTTACACCCCATACTATCCTTTTTAATTTATATAATACTTTTGTTATCTTTTTATTTTTATTTATAAAATAGCCTAAAGATCCACAAAATATTGCAAATATACCTGATATGGTGAGATTTTCTTACCAAATAAATCGGTTGACTTAATTATCTCTCTCTCTCTCTCTCTCTAAAAATGCTCACGTTCACCATCTCTCTCGCTCTCATCCTCTTCCCTCTCTCTTTCTCTCTCTTCTCCAAAGCACCAGACTATATATGGCAACGCCCGTGCCCCTCTCTCCTCCGGCGACCGAACAAGAAAATCGGAATCCTAATTTGAACCCTAAACTATCCAGTTGGAATCACCGGATATCAGCAAAAATGGTGCTCGCGCAGTTAGGAAATACCATCACGCAAGTCGGGCTCCGACATATGCTCGTTTTGCCGAAATACTAGGCTGCAGGGGTGAGTTCAAGATCTGACACATGCTGTGTTGTGGTATATGTACAGTATATGATCAGTATATGTACAATATATGTCAATTATATATATAATCGATTGTGATATTAGAATATATGTCCTCTTTTTGGGTATATTTTGCGTATAAAAACAATAAATTCATGTACGTTTTATTGAACGTTAAAATCAATAAAAAAAAAAAAAGCATAAACAAATAATCGACCTATCAACTTTTTTTTGTGGTATATTTGCGTAACTTTTCTTAAGAAAAAAAGATTGATCGCGCCTCAATCGTTTGTGTTGTGTTTTGGTATATCTACAGTATATTATCAGTATATGTACAATATATGTCAAATATATATATATAGTCGACTGTGATATATATACTGCGATTTGTAATTTTCCCCCAATTTTTGCTTCTCACGCATGCTCGACCTGATTGATTTCAGCGTGTTCTTCTCTCCAATTGCCACCTCAAAATGGCTGACGCAAACCACCATCTCCAACGACGACCCCATCATCACATCTGTCGTTGATCGGACAACGAAACTTCAGTCGAGGGTGGTAAATCCTAGCCACCAATTCATCTACTGATTTCTCGCCATCTCTGCGGAGGTCGTGGAAGCATGTGACGGTGTTGAGGTGAAAGGAATCGGAGGTGGGGTGGGGGGCATCCATGGCGGCAGAAGATAAAATTCGGACTGCAATATTTTTTTTTTAATTGAAACGAATGAGAATCACGTCCAAGAAAAGTAACAGATTTTAGGCATTAGTTTAATTTAATGTCATCTTTTAGGTACATACACAATTATTTATTTTTGGATGCTATATGTGTAATACTTTCACAATCACATAGGACAACTGCAAATTTCCTAAACTAAAATGGATAAATATAAAAGGTTTCGAGGAACATAAAGCTATATTGATGGGCCATGCATTATGAGAACCGTGGGCCTGGATACTTGTTGTTAAATAAATTTGCTCCATGATTATCACTAAACATATATTAGAAAGTAAAATTACAAAAAATCAAAACATGAATATCACTAAACATATATAATAGTATGCAAAATTACAAAAGAGCCATTACAGCGCCCGTCATGGTTGGATACACGGATTACTACATACACGCGATACACACAACCGGCCACCACACATAACGCTGCTAATCGCCACTTGTTATTTTATGCNGTATATTAATTAAATTCAACAAAACAACACTAAACATGGACTGGGGTAGACCCATATCCCGGCGGTGTCCCGGTGACCGCGGCCACCCTCCTCCCCATCCCCTTCCCCCTCTCGACCCTACTGTTCTCGGCGAACTTAAGGCTCCCTTGGTGCAGCCCCCTTTCCCTCTCTTCCTCACTCCACTCGGCCTCATAGTACTTCTCCTCCGTACACTCCCCCGCCGGCAAAAACATGCTCCCCCACTGTGGGAAGTGGATGAGCACCACCGGCAGCGTGCACGCAACAGCCATAATCCCCATGTACGAGATCCCGTCGGCAGTCGATGAGCTGGCGGACGAGAAGAACAGAAGCTGGGTCAGCCCGCCACCGAAGTTGCCACCGGCTCCTGTGAGGCCCGAAATGAGGCCCAGTGCCCGGCGGGAGACGAAGGGAACGATGCCGTAGGTGGCCCCACACGCTGACTGGGCTCCCATGGAGAAGAGGAGCATTGAGAGGACGGCCAAGGGGAGGGAGTCCGCCTGCCCTAGCAAGATGCAGAAGATACCGCCAAGGGTTTGGAACACCCAGAGGACCCAGAGGCGGCCGCGCATCCCGAAACGGCGGGCAGCCATGTCGGACGCGTAGCCGCCGAGGGGCCGTGCGAAGAAGTTGGTCATGCCGAATGCGGCAGCTACGGTTCCCGCCTTATGGAGCTTCAGGTTGAACCTAAAGAGACTGCCGATCGTCAGAGATTATATATATAATGAGTGTTAAGTCGTCATGTGCACTAAATTGCTAATTGCAAATTGTGAAATGACTACGGAATCATTCTGTCGGGATTTTTAACTAGATTATATATCCAATACTAATCCACACGTGTATCTAACTGTTAAAAACCCCAGCGGAATGATTCTGTAACGGGACTGTAGTAGGGAAGGTTTTTAACTAGATTATATATCTTATACTTATCTATATCTACATGTGTATCTAACAGTTAAAAATTCTGATCAAATGATTCTGTAAGGAGACTGTAGTATTTGTCTGCAAATTGTCTGATTCTGTAACGGGAGTGTAGTATTCGTCTGCAAATTGTCTTATCATTTTTAATATTAACTCCCACTCGTTTGATATATTGACTAAATGTTTGATTTTTTATTTTATTTTATTTTTTTTTTAGGCCCTACGTACCTGTCGTGGTAATATTCGGTAAGAACGTTGTTTGAGCAGAGCTGGACTCCCATAGAGTAACCATAGACGAGGAAAAGAACCCATGTTCGGTAGTTGGACACGGCACACTTGAATACCTACAGACAACCACCAAAAAGTAAATGAAAATGCAGATATAGTGTTATAAACCATAAAAATAAATAAATAAAAAAAAAAGTTGATCAGTAAATTAAAATACCTTAGAAAACTTGTCTTTAGCCACGTCGCCCCTCTTCTGGAGGGCACCAAGGTTCCCATCAGGCAAATCCTGGCCCAGCGTAAGAACCATGACGCCCACAATCACGTGCAGCCAGCCAGGCACCATGAACGCAATCCTCCACGCAGTAAACGGCGTGGCCCCCGCCAGCTTGATCACGCGGTAAAGCAACGGCATGAGGAGTTGGGTGAGGCCTCCGCCCATGTCCCCCCACCCCGCGGCCACCGCATTAACTGTCCCGATAACAGGCCCCGCGAACATAACGCTGGTCCAGTAGCTGCACGACACGAACGTTGCGAGGGACACGCCGATCATGAAGCGGATGGCCACATAGCCGCCCGCGCCCGTCACAAACGCGGCTGAGAACACGACCGGCGCCGCGAGGAGGTTGACGAGGGCGCAGCCGTAGCGCGGGCCCGCGAGGTCGCACGCGAAGCCCATGACGAGGCGCGAGAAGATGCTCCCCGAGACGGAGGCCACGCCGGCCGCGCCCACGTCCGCGCGGGCGAGGCCGAGGTTGTCGCGGATGACGGGGACGAGAGGGGCCGCGGCGAACGTGGAGATGAGGCAGGTGCAGAAGGAGAGCCAGGCGAGGTGGAAGGAACGCATGTGGGGTTTGGCGAAGGAGAGGACTTTTAGGGTCTTGGCGCGGTGCTCCGAGTCCACGGGGAGATGAAACTTGGGCTCGAGGGCAGAGCTGTGTTGTTCGCTGAGGTTGGGGTCTGCCATTTTCTGGTCTCGATCTTCGTGATTGAGATCGAGCCAGAAAGTGGAAGTGGGTGTGTTTTGTGTTAATTTGTACTTGTTTTGGATGTTTGTGGTTTGGAAGATGTGGGAGGTATGGGGGTATATATATATTATTGGGGAAGAAGGATTCTTGAAATTTTGCAAATTCATCACATATATGATAAATTTGTTTCACATTGTTCTCATTGATTATCATCACGATTCTCGCATTGTCCATGTATATATATGTCACTTTCTGAAAACATTTATTGTGACTTACAATTTCCATTCATATCTAACTATTTGATTAAAAACAAAATAAGACACGGCACTTTAATTCTTTTCTGTTTGATAAAATTCGACGATAAGTTACTAAAATGATGCGTAATTTGTGCCTAATTCTACACAAGTTGGTCCAATACTATCCCATGGGGTTTTCAGCTTGGGCGCAACAGTCCTTGAACTAGTGCGACCCGGTTCATAGTCTGTACAGTCACCTGATCAGTATTTCAGGGGAGCTAGCTCGGTCGAGTTGTGCATGTGCTAAGCTATGTTACTGGCTATATCACCTAGTCCCCAGTATCTACTTTGTGATAATGGTCGGATTTAAAAAATAGAGAAGGAAAAACAATTACCAAAAATAGAAATAATCAACTTTAACATTGACATTAAAGAGGTATCATCGCAAATGATACTTGAATAATTAACTAAAATTATTCAAATGATACTTGAATAAAGAACTAATCATTATTCAAAGAGAATTAGTTAATGAATAGTTATTTCAATGTATAATAAAGACAATATTAATTAAAATTTAAAAAAAATATATATATGTTGACATTAATAATAGAAAAATAAAGAAGATAAAATTGTAAAATATGTCCAATAATTTAGAACATATATATGATAATTTTCTCACGAAAACTTTTAATTATATAGAAAATAATAATTAAATCGCGAATTTTTTGGTCAAACGCATTCCTTAGTGGGGCTTTTTTTTTTGGGGGGGAAATTGTTTTGCAATTACTTGGTATTTTTTTGTCTATTTTTCACATTTTCATGCTTGTTGTGTTTTATTTTTTATTAGTTAGTGATATTTTCGTGTACTTTTTATCATGACTTCCAAATATTATCATTATTTGAAAATTATGTTTTCATTTTCAATACATTCGACACAATTCATAAATTATTGATAAAATTAAATCACAAAATAATAGTAATTATATATATATATATCACATGCATCACGCGTGCGCTTTATTTGTATTTAAAAATATTTATTTTTTCAAAGGAAAATCTATATCTATATCTATATTTATATTTATATAGTGGACCAATCCTTTTTTTCGTCTATATTTGGCATTTAATTAATATTTATTTATTAGCAAATCCTATGCATGAAAAACATAATTAATTTTATACACTCAATGACTGTTACTCATTAACTACAAATCGGCTTAAATTGATATTTTGACCGTAAATTTATTAGATATATTTTCAATAAGATCTTATATTTATTTAATAGTAATTTATTAACACAATTCAAAAAATTATTATGAAAATTGAGCTGATTAAATATATTATCATCTATGGTTGTAGGTATTAATTAACTTAATTATATTCACTATTCACAAGTACTTAAAATATTTAATAAAATAACCAGAATAACCATGTTAAATCATAATAACTTAATAAATAATTTAAAATATTAATAAGAGTTTCTAAAATGTAGTCAATTTAACTATAAAAAAGATAATCCCCACTGAATATATCATACGCATTGATAATATTATTGAAAATTGAAGTAATATACTAATAAAAATAAAATTTGATGGTCGGTGCCATTCAGAATTATAAATTTCACCTTAGAAGTATCTATGTACATCAAAAAACTATTCAATTTTTAAAAATATATATTATTTTTCTTATATACTATTTTATAAATAAGAAAAAAAAGTTAATAAAAAACAACGTATAATAATTTAAATTATAGCACTTGTTAATTATGAAAATATATAATATATCTAAATATTCGAATGAATTCTATGTAACTCATTATATAAATTGAGAAAATGAATTAAAGATATAAATATAAATAAAAAATGAAAACATAAAAGTAAAATATTTAACCATAAAAAATTTGTGTGTTCCAAAAGGATTAAAATTACTAAGAATAAAATCTATTTATCAAATTTTTTAAAATTTAATGCACTTAATAACTATAGCGGAAGATAAATATTATGGGTTAAATGTTGGTCAATTATCAAGGAATGTGCAAATTATTAATTGTTAAAAAAATTATAAGACTATGATAAACGACAAATTTATAAGTACATACAAGTAATTTGTATGTAAATATCATATGATTTTATACATTTATAGTATTTTATAAACTTATAAATAATAAAATTTATATATTAATAGTCAAAACTACAAATATATATATATATATATATATATATATGTATAGAAATTAATAATAGTAAATAAATAAATGTTATATTATTACTGAATAGAATATTGTGGAGAATATAAATTCATATGAGTTGCCTGTTCATATGGTCCAGTAGGTTTTAATAACTATGATTAGAAGTCAAATATCATGAAACTGGAAGGAAGTTTCCTAGGTGAGATATAGAACATGCAAGAAGATTTGTCAAAATAGCAATGAAATAAGTACGGATTGTATACTGATTGCCATAAGTACGGATGAGAGTGGCATCTAAACAATTTGACTACACAAAACGGCCATAGCGGGAATGGGATACATCATGGGTAAGAAAAGCACAATATCCACGTACTGTGTGCATAACCTTGCAAGCCGGACCAGTTCCTAACGTCTGGCTTTATCATATAACTCCCTTATTTGGTAAAACTAAATTTTCACACAATGTACTTTAATTTAGTTTATTTTTAATTTAATTTTATCATTATTATTTTTCATTTCCAAATTTATATAATTAATTTTATTTTAATATATAATAATATATAAGTTTATTTAATTTAATTTAATTTTAATTCATCATACTATAATATATTTTATCTTAATTTACTTAATTCATTAATTTCATTTAATTTTATATTATTTTATTTGTTAGTATTTAATTTATTATAATTTTATATTTTATTAATATAATTTACATTATCTCTTAAATTTCATTTGATTTATTCATGTGTAAGTCTATATATATAAAACGTTATTAGATTTATCAAGTAACTTGGATTGGTGTGGTAGTGGCAGAGCTACCATGCATCTTTCATGTCTCATGTTCAAATCTCTATGGCCAGCAAAATTTTTTATATTCAATTGACACTTGGAATGCCAGGTCAGCAGAAAAACGTCATGTCATTGAAACGTGGAACGCCATGTCAGCAGAAAAACATCTTAGTAGAAAAACACCATGTCATTTACACGTAAAACGTCATGTCAGCAGAAAAATGTCATATCAGTAGGAAAAGCCCAATATTTTAATGTTATAACTACAAAAACAACGTTAATTAAAAGAGGTAGAAAATATATGATCCATCTCTATTATTTTTTAGACATAAACGGACAGGTCTTATGGAAATGACTAATGTAACATTTCTGACCTATGCATCGTAATGATTTATGAATATTTATATATCATTTAATATTTATATGAACAAAATTTTATTGTATTCCAATTTTCATTGAGGTACGGTAAATTCATATTCAATGATTCATTGATTTGACCATAATTTTATTCTATATATATATATAGGGAATGGTTCCAATGCATCCACTTATTTAAAGTGAGGATGTAAGACTCATTTTTAGCCACAAAATTTGGTACATATCATGTGTGACCAAGATTTACTCTTTTCTTTTTATTATTTTAATTATTTAAATATTATTTTGACCTGTTGACTCCGGCGTTGACCGTTGACTTCTGGCGTTGACCGTTGACAACTAACCTTCCAACTAGGTTAGTACTCTGTAGTTGCTAGGTTAGTTCTCTGTAGTTGCTAGGTTTTTTGTTTTAAACAAACAACGCCCCGGAAGGGCGGGGGATGGATCCCCAACCTGTGCATAGATCAGGGCCCCAAAATTGGGGGCCCAAAATATCAACGAGCAAGATACAATAGTCTACAGAGTCTCACTAATCAAAATCAAAATCAAAAGAAAACCAAAAGAGAAAAGCCGAAAAACGAAAAAGAAACAAAAACTACAATACAAAGTCGATCTTCGGGCTAATAGATGCCCGAAATAAATGTCTATACTAATGAAAGCAAAAATCCTAACCTACTGAAAGCGGAACGCTGGATATCCAAGCTGGTCCATCTGTACAAGAGTGCGAAGGCGGAGTGGAGCAGTGTCGGTCTGAAATGTATGTGTGTCTGGTATGGTGGCGCCAAGGCTGGCCAGATAGTCGGCGGGTCTGTTCCCCTCACGGAAAATGTGCGTGATCCTGTGATGGACAGACCGGAGTAGAGCTCTAATACGCATAAGCGGGTGCTGAATCTGCCACGAGCCCTGGTGGCCCGAGGTCAAAAGGGTGGCTACAGCCGCAGCGTCTAGCTCGATCCAAATGTGGCTAGAGATGTGGACAGCAATCTGAAGGCCTATCTATAATGCCTGAATCTCTGCATCATAGCTCGAGGAGGCCTGATGGGACGCGTGGAAGGCGGTGATGAGGGCGCCGCTATGGTCCTGGATCAAGCCTCCACCTCCGGCAACTCCAGTGTGGCGATCAAAGGAGCCATCAGTGTTCAGCTTGACCCATGGAGAGTCAGGTCGAAGCCAAACAACAGCTCTGGGCTGAGGGTGCCGAACAGGCGGTGGTGGGGCCACCATGAAGCGATGTGGTGGCGTGCAGCCTGTCCAGTCTCGGGCCGTGAGCCTGCCCAATGCGATGAGGAGTGAAATGTGTCTCTCTACCTGCTAGAGTATCAGATTCGGCTTCGGTGATTCGGGCCTTCACCTTGTTCCCCTCCGAGTGGATAATGGTTCCGCAGGCATGCTCGTAATCCCCGTCGAAGGTGAACTCCTTCGGTGTCGGACGGTTGGTGCTCGAGCCACCATCTCTTCTCCCTGTAATAGCCTCTCGGAAGGAGAGCGGGCCCGTGGAAGTGCCGGGAGATGGCCCAACTGTAGCGGG